ATTCAAACCAATAAGAATATGAACCAATTTATTTTGAATTGGCTCAATCCAATAATTATAATTGGCCCAAATCCATTTGATGAGATTTGGATCGAATTGGATCCAAACCAAAACTAACCGATTGACACCCCTACATAAATGAATGGAGTGAGGAGCCCTCCGACCAAAAATTTCACTAGAGCTTCTCAATCTGGTTTACAATCTTTTTGGGTAAAAGAGAAGTTCACGTAATGTAAGTAGGTAGGGCTTGTAGAACTTATTTAACGATTGTGGTTTCCTTGCTCGAGATAGGAGTTTTGCCTTAAATGTGGCCAATTTAGAATTTACTTTCTCTATTATCTCTGGTGTTTTAAGGATGGTTTATCTTGAAATCATAGTTTATCACCCAAATATTTTTCACGGGCTTACATTTGTTTTATCTATATCATATGCAGAAATAATTTATTTTTCCTTCTATGCACTAAACTGTTGAATTGGGCCCCTAATTTGGCTAAGTTCACTTTTTCACTAAAATTTTTTAGGGTTTCCTTGACTTTCCTTGCTTGATTGAATTCAGCCTTGCATATCACTATGTAGTCATCTGTGAACAATAGATGTGTAATTGGGGTCCCTCTGCATATTTTAAAGCCCTATAACTCCTTATTTGTCCAGCCTTATAGAAGAGTCTTAAGAAGGCTTGCATTCCAATGATGAATATATAAGGTGACAAAGGATCACCTTGTCTAAGCTCGTTTTGTAGCTGAAAATATTCTGACTGAAGTTTATTTTAATGAAAATTTTGGTGTGTTATACATAATTCAATCTTTTGACACCTTCTAGGAAAACCATTTCCTTTAACATCTGGATGACGAAATCTCTTCTCATTCTGTCATAAGCATTGGACATGTCCATCTTTAATAGCAGCCATCCCTTTCCTCTCTTGTTTTTTTCAATTTGTGAACCATTTCTCATGGTAGAAGAATGTTGTATATCCCTTGTCTTCCTTTTATAAAGGTTGATAGGTTAGGAGTAATTAATCTGTCTAGTAACTTCTACATCTTGAGAACCAAGCATTTGGCTATTATTTTGTATAAGAAATTACAAACACTTATGGTTCTATATTGTTGGATTTTTTAGGGATCTTGATTTTTGGAATATATACAAGGTTTGCATGCCCTAATTCATGGAATAAATATGAAAATTACAACGAGATATTGAAAAGGCGTTAGACAGTGTATGCCCTTATCTTCAATCAGTCTGAGGTATACAAACATTTATCTATAAATTAATAAAGCACATTGTTGTTTCATGTTTATATCGGTGTATTTTTGTGTATTACCCCTTAAATTAAACACTTATGAGACCCGTGTTAAGTTTATAATGTTCTCAGCCATTTGATGGACTTTGGGAGTTTATTTTGACAAGACTGACACTGGTGTTCTACCAAATAGTTGGAGTAACTTGTCTCAGCTGTTAGGGTTAGACCAAAGCACATGTAGTGGATGTTTAGAAGAGACACTGAACCCGGACTAATTTCCAATTATGCCTTGTACCTTGGAAATAGATGGGCAAAACTAGAAAGTTATACATAATCCCAAACTTGATTATGATATTACATTAAGTAATGGATCAGGCTATCTTTGATATACCAACTAATGGAATCCATTAAGAGTTAAATATCTAGGCATATTAGAGCAATTTGGGAAATTATTTGAATGGGTGATCATAGTGATAGGATCAACCCCTTTGTCGAATAAAGTGAATATCAAGGTTTACACTCTCTGATGGAAACCTAAACTGTCAATAATGAATTTCACATGTGTTTGAAATTTGGTTTTGCAAAATATATTTATATACTATATTATTATTTTGTGAAAATGGTTTGCAAAATGTTTTAATTCTAGGATCCATCCGAACAGAGAGTGTGGCACTGCACCTTGCAGGCAAGGGAGAGGTCATTTCCTATCGGGTAGTGCTTTGGTAATTATGGATTAAGAGGTTAATTGTAAAAGACCATTACAGGACTGATTACTTAATGGGCTTTATCTTACATAAGTCTGTTACCCTTAGGTATCCATAAGGTGGTTAAATCCAAAGATCATTTAGGTGTAAATTTTGAGCCCAGATTGAGCCCATGTTAATTGGCTTAGGAGTTCACTGCCCTAAGTAATGAATTCGGCCCAATCTCTTTCAGAGGTGGGGTCAAACCCTCATGGATTTGTGTGAGACCTTTGTGGGATCCCACGCCATACAATATCAAGCCCAATGTGGCCATGCAACACTTAGGAACGTGAGCCTTTAAGAAAAATGGGCCTAAGGCCCATTACTAATATGATTAGTTAAGTTGTCACATGACAATTTAAGTTGTCTTGTGATTTGGGTCAAAAACTGGGTTTGGATCTTGGTATGGAGAATCTATCCTCTCAAGAGGATAATGTTTATCAAAAGAAAGGTTCTAATCCAAATCAAATTTGGATCATCTCCTAATTAGATTAGGAGTCTTGCTCCATACAAGGATAAAGAGAGAAGATGGCAAACCAATCTTGAACTTTGCATTCTTGCTTTCTCTTCTTCTCTCTTATGTCTCAAGAAACCCTAATTACGACTTAGGCTTTTCAAGAACTGATTTCTATTAGTTTTTCCTTGGAATTTTTAAAAGAAAAACATTGAGGAAATTAGGCTCACACATCCCATTCGATCCAAGCAAGTTGGATAGCAGATTTGTTGAAATCAAAGTTGTTGAATCGGTTTCTCCCGTACATTGTTCCATCTTCAGTTGAAGGCCGATTTTGGGACTGATATTGGGTGTGAACTTCCACCTTGAGAGCTATGATTTGTGGTCTTCGTATCAGGTATAATATCCTTTCAATTTGACTTCAAATTTAGTCTGATTTAGTGCAAGATCAATCCGAAAAATTCAGCTTTCAAATTCACCAAAAATTTGTTCTTGAAAGAGTTAGAAAAATTTTGAAATTTTGTCTAGCCATTTAGCATGGTTCAGCCATTCATATGATGGATTCTAAACCCTTCCAACAAAATGAACCAACAACCTCTGATACATATTTTTGAATTCAACTATTCCAAATGCATAGCTCTAATAGAGAGGAGACAGTGATAGAGTGGACTTAGAAGTGGGTTTTCCTTGTCCTTCATAATTTAACCATAAAAGGGCATTTTAAGAATTTTTAAAATATAGTCACGTGATGTCACATGTTAACAGAGTGTGACAGAAAATTAACGGAAATGGAGATTTTAGACTATTGTCAAAAAACTTAAGAATACTTTAAAACAATAATTAAATAGTAAAGGTATAATGTTAGTCAATTTCCTAAACCATAGGGGTATTATAAGAAAATTTCCCATAAAAATATGCACCAAAACATGCTTCAGTTTGATATTTTTTTGAGCAACAGCTGCCGGAATATCTTTAAAAATGGGCAATAACTGATTCAAAATGTCCTCCGGCCAAACATCGGTCAAAAGGGCCAATTTTAGAAGTGTTCCACAAAAAAATGGGTTTCCAAAAAACCGTTGTCTATTTGAGAGAAGAAGACAATATAACCGGGTTTTAGATATCCATTTTGAATTCAATTGTATTGGGTATGGGAAGTAGTTCTATAGCGACCCATTGGGTACTTTGCAATGATTTTAAAACAGGTAAACTTTAAATGAAATTAAAATATAAAATGTATATATATTAACAGGACAATGGTGAAGATATCATCCACTTACATTTCAGCAAAATTTCAGTATTATTAAGAATTCTTATGTCTAAGCTTTCTTGCGAAATATTTATTTTTAAATAAAAACATAGGACGGTGATGTGTCTGCTCAACTTTTGCTGTTTGGAAGGCACTTCTTTTTTAAAGGGTTTATAGTTGAATCAGATAGTTTACTGGCAATGGATGCAGTTAACGCCGGTCATACTGATCTTCCTTGATCCTGTTTGAATTTGCTGGATAAGATGTCTTTTGTTAAAAGAACAATTTAAGTTTGTTAAACTTGTACCTTAACATTATTTACCCAAAAAAAGGAATAGAAACTTAACATTGCCTGCCCATGTTTTAGCAAAAGAGAAAGTCTTTTGAAAGGACTTATTATTGGAGGTAAGGTTCAAAAAATTGACATATATCGGCCCTTATCGGCCAATACGTATCATATCGGGAGCTTCCCAAATAGAAAATACAATTATTTGAAGAACTAATCCCTACTCATCTCATGTCAAAACGCCAAACTTATTTGCTTCATACTAATTTAGATGCTGAACTAGTGTTCTGAGAATTTTTGTGTTTGGTTTTAGTGTTGCTATCTCATCATCATCATTCAAGCTAAGCTTTATCCCAATTAAATAGGATTGGCTATCATAAGAAATATGCAAAAGTTTTAGTGCTCACCGTTAATGTGACGCAACTCTCTTTTATTTAGGTTTGGGACTGGGAGTACAAGACAAGCTGACAGTGACAGAGTTATTATCATTTAAATGAATTGTGCAATCAAACACCATCCAATTATACATAGACGAACATGTAGATGCAATCTAATGGTTTTAGAAGCATAAAACCAAAAAAAACGACAGGTAAGGTTTCTGGGTATTTTGGTAGTACATATCCATCTTTTTTTGCTAGTTTGCGATGCACCAAAATATCACTGCACTGCTATATATAATGCCACCTAAGAGCCTAAGTCATGGGCTGTTTCTTCAAATGGGCAAATAATGGATTTGATTTTTCCCCAACACCCCCTTTCTAGTAGAAACTTCTATAGCTCTATCACTATTTTAACTCAAAACAGTCTCAACCAAACAAAAAATAAATGATTATCTAGGTGGCGCTGATGTAACGTAGAAACAACAATATCAGTACCAAACATCACCTATAACACCGTTAAATCACCATGAAGCTGTGGTACGTGGTAATCCGGTAGAGGAGTTTCCTGGTGATTTCTTTCTCAAACGTCCAAACTGATTCATATATTATCTAGAACTACTGGGTTGAGATTGTCAATACCGTCACGCCCGAGACAACCGAGGGTGGTGGAGTGGAGACCCCAGCCCAGAAACATGGAAAATGTCAAAGCTTGAATCAAAAGGAAACATCATAGAAGCAAGAACGCCTTTACAAGACAAGAAAGTCTTCCCTCTTCGTATTTTTTCCATCATCTATTTATTTATTCATCTCCCCATCTTCATCTCAATTCTCGATTCACAAGTCTCACAGCTATATCACCAATCTTCCTGTCTTCAAGCTTCAAGCTTCAATATCAGAATGGCAACAGATACGTCTCTCAGACAAAGATCGAGGACCAACAACGAGACACCGATCACAGAGACACCCAGCTCGTCAGATGATGAAAAGAAGCCTCCAATTGCAACAGATTCCTCAGCGTATCCCTCGATCTCGCAACGAGCCATCAGCCAGACCTTGGCAAGCACTGCACATTTGGCCAACCTCCTCCCCACCGGCACCCTCTTGGCCTTCCAGCTCCTTGTCCCGACTTTCACCAACAACGGAACCTGTGATTCTGTCACTCGCCCCTTGACGCTGATCTTGTTGTTGGTACTGGCTGTTTCTTGTTCCCTGGCTTCCTTCACCGACAGCTTCAAAGCTCCAGATGGAAAGGTCTATCATGGTATAGCCACCTGGAAGGGCATGTGGCTCTTTGACTACACAGGCTCAAGCGTTCCTGATCTCAGAAACTACCGGCTCAGGTCCATTGACTTTGTCCATGCAGTTCTATCAGTCTTTGTTTTCGGTACCGTCGCGCTGAGAGACAAGAATATTTTGAGTTGCTTCTATCCATCGCCTGCACACGAGACCCAAGAAGTTCTCGACATAGTTCCCCTTGCTATCGGTCTCTTTTGCAGCCTGCTGTTTGTGGTTTTCCCCACCACAAGACATGGTATAGGTTACCCTGTGACTTCAGGGAACTGATTTATTCATTTGTTCTTAATTTTCTTGATCTCTTCTGTAACCAACCAATAGGGAGACATTCAAAAAAAATCAAAAATATCAAACACCTTTTATCATTTATACAATGATCGGTCTCTCCATGGGTCCAAGCTGATGGCAGTAGCAAAAATTTACTTGGTTACATATGTCATTAAATAAATAACACCAAAAGCACATTCTAATTTAATTCTCCAATTTTCTCAACATAACTACATCTTATGAAATAATACCACAAGCGAATTGTAGTTTAATTCTCCAGTTTCTGCATTACATTACAGAGAGAAAACCATGTCTAAGGAGGATGTGGAAAATTCATGTACAATGACATCTTAGAGGAATTGAGACACCTGGGGATTTTCTCTTTTCTCGAATAATTGCTTCTTTAATCATGGGTAGTTTTTGGTGAACCTTCCTCCAAATGTGGTTGACCGCACCATCAGGAGGAACTGGCCCAATACCACCTGGATGACCATTGTCATATTCAAAAATGGGTTGAACATGGGCCATATTTCGGCGAAATGCATCCTTCTGTTCTTTGGAGAAGCTTCTGAGGTGATTCAAAAGCCAGTTTGGTTTAAGGACATCACTTACTGACACAAAAACGGAAAAATCTGAGTAGTCCACCATGCCTTCAAATGGAAGCTCGATGTTATCACTAACAATTACAGGTATACAAAGGCTGAGGACAGCATCAAAAAGGCGGCATGAAGTTGGAGTATCACCAGCTGGATGCAAGCAGAATTCTGATGTCCTCATCCCTTTGATTGACTGCTCTCTGCCAGTAGCATTAGGGAAGCCTTCCTCCATGACGACACCAGGCTCATTAACCAATAAGTCCCACAACTTTTCCCGAACAAGACCTCCCTGTAGAAATAACATTATTGAAGAAATTATACTAACAGTTATATTTACATGAAATGAGTTTTTCAGAAAAGAAAAAACTACCACAGAAAATTTTTTCCAATCTGTAAAATGGGCACCACTATATAAATTTGGACGTGAAAAATTTAGAAATATAACAAAGAAAAACATCAATTAGTGCAGTAGCTGACAATAATATTCACATTTGCCAATTGCTTTTATCAATTTGTTAGTATGGTAATCTCATTAAAGCTACTATGTAACCTAGGATAACAGGTAGAAATAATTATAGCCTTGGAATTGGTTGCCTCTCCTATGTTTCATAAGGCACAGTTGCAAAACATTGTTGTTCCATGATTATGGATTAAAATGTATAGTGGATGGTTCAAAATGAAAAGCTCTTGATTACAAGACAAGCTGCAATATACTAATTGTATAACTAGATACCTAGAAAACCAAGTTGCCACTAGCCATGTCTCTGACAACTTATGGCTGTAAGACTTGGGCAGAACACAGGCCTCTTAGCAAAGAGTCATGATCAAACAAAATACATGCAATTAGCTTTTTTTTTTTTTTTTGATAGATAACAGAAAGAATTTCATTACCTAAACAATAATATACAGAGAAATACAACCAGGGATTGAGTACGTACCCCTTTAAGCAGATGGAACAACTAAACCCAATACAATCACTCCCTACCCATCACTTATCCACAGGAGCAGGTTAACACTTGATCCTTAAAGCAGCTGAACCCAAAATAATTGCTACTTAGCAATTATCAAGTAAGGAACTAAAAGGCTATAAATCACAAAAAAGACCACAGCAGGTGCATTCAATCCAATAAGGTGATGATGCTCCAGAGTTACTGCAACTGCATGGAGATGATCACTAAAATGCTATGGTCATAAGTGAAATGATCACAATAACCGCTTGTAGTGGTTGAAACAGAAACCCCCCTGGTGAGAGCAGTGTTTTAAAAGCACAAGGGGCAATTTGCACCCGAGGCACAAGGTACAAGACGAGGTGCATGCCTTTTTGAAGCAAGGCGTAAAAATTTAAAAAAAAAAAATTGCTAAATAAATAAAAAAATGTCAGAAAATTAAAAAATATCAAAAAAAATAAACATAATATTAATAAAAAACATAAACTTAAATTTTAAAATAAATGTTTTAAAAAACCTATTATCTAAAATTAGAATAATAACCACAACATGTAAAGCGTATTCAAATAAAATTTTAAAAATAAAATCAAACATATAAAGCATTTTCAAGCATGTAAAAGCCACAATCTCTTTTTTTCCTCAATTGCATTACTTCAAGTAGCTAATTTGATGTAAAACATATTGCATTCTTGATTCTATGAGCCGCCTTTGTACCATACCCCTCGAGCCAAGCCCAAACAAGTCCATGTTAGGGTCTTAAATTCTTAATTCACACATAAAAAATAATGACTTTATAACTTTCATTGCCTTTTAAGAAAATATTTTTATTAGAATGAATGAATGAACAACATTATCACATGGGGGGTTCTCAAAGCTTCGGTGAGCGAGCAAAGCAAGCAAATTAAAATATCTTCTTAAATGGCAATTAAAGTTATAAAATCATTATTTTTTATGTGAGAATTAAGAATTTAAGACCCTAACATGGACTTGTTTGGGCTTGCTTCAAGGGGTGTGGTCGGGGGTTTGGGTGCGGAGTCCCCAACCCAGCCGCTAGGTTAAAAAAAAGCAAAAAAGTGTGAATTTTTCAAAAGGTGCATGCCTGGGCTGAGGTGCAAAGCGCATCAAGCGCACGGCTAGGCACACCAGGCGTATGCATAGTACCTAGGTGAGGCGCATACCCTAAAGTGCACCTAGTACCTACGCGAGGCACATACCCTAAAGTGCACCTCGCCTGTGTGCCTAGGTGCGCCTTTTAAATCACTGGGTGAGAGATTATGGCAATTATGCACAATATCCCTATCTCTGTGCCTACTTAAATTCACTCAAGTTTAATTTGAGAGGGTATTCAAAATAAATTTCAGATCCAGCATCAATTAAAATGATTAGAGTAAGCAATAGAATTTTCTTAAGCAGTAATGATCAAAAGAGAACTGATATCCAATTTACACATGCTGACAGAATGAAAACTAGGGCTATTGCTAATCAATTGAAAAGAAGAAAACTTTCTGGATTTAATAAGTTCCATGACTAAGGTAAAACAAAAAAAAAAAAGCATAAATATTTAAAAAGTGGAAGTTCAATACTAACCCGGTGCCTATGCTTTGCTCCTTTGAAGTAAAGAAGGGTAATACGATCCTGATTTTCTGACAAGTGCAGTCTAGGAAGTAGATGGGTATATGGAACAATTACATCTTTGAGCAATGAAACTTGCGTGTGTTGTATCATATCAGAAGTGTTGTCACTGGATGCTTTCAAGTCAAGCCTGTACCACCCACCAAAATCCACCACCAGGAGCACTGCTGGTGCTATCTCAGCTTTAACATGCCACATTGCAACTGGGTCTGTCAAAGAATGCCTCAAGTTTTAACATAACCTGACAATCCAGAGACTGAATCATAAGCTTCTAAAGCTTGTTTGATTTTGACAGTATGCAAACAGAGATTTGTACTCATTCATATCTGTGCAAAACTTTTAAAGCAGCATTAAAGTGTGATAGATAGACTTAAGAACATATGATGGCCCAGTAAGGAATCTGGTGATATTTGTCATGTTGAAGAATAACTGGAAAATAGCTACAGAACCTTAAGTGGATAACAGTATGAGCATAATTATTTATAATATTTATTTATTTTTTGTTTCAAAAGGTAATGATATGACATCATCATCATCATCTAAGCCTTGTCCCAACTATATGGGGTTGGCTACTGAATCATGTTCTGCCATCCCATTCTGTTCCGTTGTTAAATTATGGGCCCTTAAATTACTTATCACTACTTCCTATTGCTGCCTTCAGATTTTGAGGAATCCGAATCTGGTGCAAACCTAGCTATGTGTGTGACCAATCACAAGTGAACACACCAGTATTCTCTACACATGCAGCCCACACCACGTGAGGTAACCATGTGTATAAAACACTGGCACATTCACTAGTGATTGGTCACAGCCACATTCACATTGTTCACAGCAGATCCCATGACAATTTTGTGAGGCCTATGCCTCACTGCCGCACACCTCAATTTGGTGAAGGATACACCACATATAGAAAACATTATATTGCAGAAGAAAATAACAGATATAAATATATTGATATAAAATACTTTCCAAAATTCAAAAAATAATCACTTTTTGGTTGGTTACAAATAAAAAAAAAGCAGTTTACACTTAAAAATATATAATAATATCTTTTTATCCCAAAAATATCTATTTTTTCTCTTATTTGCTTTATGTCTCAACGTACCTAATGTGAGAATATCATCTCCATTTATGTGTTTACTAATAAATAATGACAGTGCAACCAGTCTATAAACCAAAAATGACAACTATGATTCTACTTAAAATAAATAAAAAACACATAGAAGCTACCAATACAATAAAAAATTGAACAAAATTATCAAACTCTTTTTATGCAGTTTTACTTGCAAGTTGCAAGAGAGATTTTGTTTCAATAATAAAGTTGTATATGATGAATAGTATTCATTTGAAGATATTTAAAATTGTTTTATATTGAAAATAAAGTAGAATATGTGTAAATTAACCAATTTAGTAAAAAGATTATTTTTTTATGAATATTTTAGTAAAAAGATTATTTAACATGGGTAGAAAATGTTATAAACATAAAACACTATACTAACCTCAAATGCCTTGACTCCTACACCAAACCTCCACCTCTAGCCTTTTAAAACCTTACTAGAAAATAACTTCTATGAGAGTTGAACCTATGACTATGTAAAGATATAACAAAAAACCAACCTTACGAATAGATACATATTAATTTCTAACTACATAGTACATATACTTAAAATATTATTTTTTATCAGTATATACTTAAATGTTATTCCATTGGATCTTAATGGATTGGACTGGGGTTGATCCACATTTGACCAAGTTATAAATGGATCAAATTGGTATTCAAATTTGGATAAATGGACAGTTGTCAAGCTCACCCATATATAAGGCTTTTGGAATTTGAAACCGCAACATGATATCATTTCCTCCTTCCTAGATGAAAGGCATGTACACTTTTATATATCTAAGCATTTTAACTGGGAAGAGGAACATCTGCACTAATTGGTTTCTGTTCTAGAGGTCTAGTTCACAAATTTGATGTCTAATCTTCTTAAGTCACCTAGCATTGCCACTACCCCCTTAATAGTTCTTATAAGTTTTAATATCTCCAGCTATTTAACACTTAACAGTATAGTCATCCCTCATACACCATGCTGGTCCTTGCACTTAAATTAGCTTTTATGTCATCAGAAAAAGAGTAAAATTTTTTTATAAGATATAGACAAGTAGCAAAGACATCACATTCAGTTTAGTTTCACACAAGGGAGGTCAAGAAGGAAAGCCCTTTTACCCTTGTTGTCCAGTAATTCATGCAGAGTTTAAAGAAAACAAGAAACATCCAACATGGGTGTAGTTGACCTAAGCCTTTACAAGGTTCACAATAGACAATGCAAATTTCCACTTACCACACACATGTTTAAATCAACAACTGCCCCAATCCTTATCCTCCAGTAATTTGCACTACTTATGAATAACCAATATTTTATTCTTAAGATGAGGTCCTTAAGAATGTTTTGGAAATCCTTCAATCATCCCCATATGATCCTTCTTCTAAGTGGAAGCCCTCTTTCTATGCTTACAGTAGTCTCATTGGTATCACCAGTGTCAGCTTATCTTACACTACCAGTCCCAAGCTGGTATAAAGGAAGATGGTTGCACCAGGTTGGCAGCTGACACTAAAAGTTTTTCCAAATTCTCAGTCTCTGGCATTAAAAGGAATGGAATGGCAAAACAGGATTTATGTAGCCTTCCCCAACCACAGGGATAAGGCTTGGATGATGATGACAGTAGTCTCATGGATGACACCAATACCACAGAAGCTGACGTGAGGGCTCAAGATTGCCAAACATCTTCGCATTTCAACCTTGGCCATAGAGAGTGAGCTAATATAATTAGATGGAATAACACTGAGAAATGGCCCATAGAGTCTGGCTTATTTCTTACTTTAAATAAGAGAACCTATGGAAGGTGATTTAATTCATATTTAATGGATTCCAAGCTAAACCCAGGCTTGGGAGAGCTCTTTTAGAGTAAGAGATCTAAACAAATAGTTTTTTTATAGTAAGAGACCCATAATGCTTTTCAGAAATGCAACATTTGAACCAAAAAAAAAACACTATATTCGGGGATATGCCACTCCACCAAAAGTGAGCTCTTTGCTTGGGTAGCACTTTGGAAAAAGTGCCTTACTAAAGAAATGTTGATAAAGAAAGGTTTCAACATTTCAGATTTGGTTTGCCCTCTATGCAACAGGGAGACTGGAGACTTCAAACCACTCATTCATTCATTGCAACTTCAGTGCAACTGTTTGGCATGATTTCCTCAAAGCCCTAAATCTAAATTAGTGCTTCCCAAGCTCAGTGAAAACATTTTTTATCAGAAACGATAACTTCAATAATGAGATTTAGGGCATGTTCATTTTCTCTGACGCCTAATATGTGGAAATGCAATAATTACATTAAGAGGTATATTGGTATTGGTGAACTTTTCTTTCCTCTAAACTCTGAATGCAGAGTATGTTGTTCTGATTTCTGATTTCTGAATTCTGAAAATTGTCAAATATCCCTTTTAACCCCATATATGAGAATTTTTGTTTGCGTTTTGGGGGTATCATTGGAAAACCAAAAGTTGTAAGATTCCTCTTTAAGAGATAAGAGATAAGAGGACACGAACACCCATTTTCCTCTTAAAGTTGTAAGATTCCTCTTAAAAGATAAGAGTTAAGAGGAAACGACAGGCCCTTAAAATTCTGAAATACAGACATCAACCCCTAGTAGAAGAGTTTGGGCCAATAGACATGAAATTACAGCACTACCCAGTACAAACTCTCTCTTACAGTCCCTTGTTTTGCAAAGGTATCAGCTAAATCATTTGCTGATCTCCTTACCCACTTAAAGTAAACACCCACCTCCCTTGTTATGCTAAAAATTTCCCCTATCAGCTGTCTATGTTGCCAAATTCCCAGATGCCCTAATTGCATCCACTCAATTACCAATTTGGAGTCCCCCTCTATCTCAATCTGCTGTAGCCCAAACTGTTTGGCCAATCTTACTCCTTGATGTAGAGCCAAGATTTCCGCTCTTAGGGTATCTCCAACTCCTACTGGACCTGAATAAAGAGACATTATCCTACCTTCATCATCTCTGAAAGCACCTCCTATTCCAGATAGGCCCAGATTACCATTAGAGCTTCCATAAGGTTATGCTTTACCCTTTGTTGTGTCAGTGGGGACCAAATTAACTGTACCAAAGGTTTGGATGGAGTTGTAGCTACCACAGCACCCCAATTTCTGTAAATGTCTTCAGCTGAGAAATTCTTAAACAGATCACATGATTTCAATCAATGGATGACCTTAATGGTTATTCTTTCCACTACCTCTTCCTTGGATCTAAACACACCATTGAAGATCCTATTGTTTCTTCCCTCCCATACTGACCATAACACAGGTGTTCTTGTAGCTCTCCACATAGCCCTTCCACGCACCTCTGGTTGCATGCAAAAAGATGGATCAAAGAGGCTCACCCACACTCGGGGGAGAGGTTTGAAGAATGGCAAGTTTTGGGGATCTCCGAGAAAGGCAAACGCTGTTGGTCAGCCATCCTACTAACAATGCTAGGAGTTATTTGGCATGAGAGGAACAATAGATTATTTGAACAGAAATCAGCATAAGAAGAAAGGGTGATGAATGGAGTGATTGAAGATCTTAGGAATTGGTTGTCCATACAACACGTTGTTAAAGATGACACTTTTTCAGCTTCTTTTAGGGCCCTAATATACATGTACAGAACCTTGTTATACGGTCCATACTTTTTGATTTTAATGAAATTTACCTGACCTTTACTCAAAATTAAAAAATAATAAAAAAAACGCTAATGGAAAGATCAACTATAGCCAAGCAATGGAGCTTCAATTTCTTAACCGCAAAAGCTAATTCAAGCAAAATGACAAATGATCGCATCCACTGGCCACCACTACCTCCAATATACGAAAGATACTGTCTTTGTTAGAATCTACAAAACATAAACCCCAGTAAAATCTACAAAACTCAACATACAGATGAAGCTCCCAGCAATGGAAAACGAGTTTAGAATCTATTAGTCTACAATAATACCCACTGATAAACAATGAAAGACACAGAATAAGAATCTTCAATACCAACATTTGAATCATTTCCAAAACAGAAAAATAAAAATATAAAGAGAATTAATAACAAAAAAAAAACATACCGGTCAATACGAAGACGTGATCCCGCCCGCCCGAGCGTTTCCAAGCATCCGTACCTCGAATCAAATCTACAACCTCCTTCTGCCTCTCATAATCCTCATTACCCACTTTCTTCCTAAATGCCCCCTTGGCCATTCCCAACTGCATTTCCGCACTGAGCGTTGCGAAGAATGGCACAAAAACAACATCAGCTTCATTGACATCGAAAACCCGTTTCGCGAATGACCCAGTTCTCAATTCCTCGGGGGTCATCAGATCACCCAAGATCCAGTACTCAGCGCTGTACTGCTTGATCAACGGGTTCTCTGGGTATGGAGGGAACTCGAGCTTCCCTTTAGAAGAAACCGTGGACCGAATGTCATTGTCGACGTCGCTTCCAAGTCTCGAGTCGTCGCTCAGGGACCAGTATTTGCCTAACAAACCGTAATTGAGTGATCTGGGGAGATCTGCAACGTAGACTCTGATGGATTGGTTAGGATTTTGAGGGATTTTCTGAGAGAAGGTGAGAAACGGAGAAGAACAAGAGGTTTGCTGATGGGTTGATTGTAAGAGAAAGAAGATGGAGAGTGGAAGAACACAGAAGAGACCAAGAGAGAGAAAGAGAGAAGGGATTGAGCAAGGAATGAGTGCGTTGTTTTTCGGAGCCATGCCTTTTGCTTTGCTCGCGAGCTCAAGTACTTTGCCCCTTAAATTTCGACTCCGGTAGGGGAAGACCGGGAGGTTAGCTGGTTAGGTCGGGTTGATATCAACCCAAAACCAACTCGAATTATTGAACCACGTCCACGACCTCAATCGACCTGGAAGAATCGAACCTGGGTCCTGGAATAAATTTGACCAATCAGAATCCCCGGTGAACGACGAGAGCTAAATGACCGTATTACCCCCACATGTGGTGGGGTTTTGTTCTCAAACCCGAGAGCTCCAAATCGCGCTCACTGTCCGCCGGTGAACAAATTCGTATTCAGCAAGGATCACTGTTCCTCGAGCGACGAAGGGACTCGCATCTGCCCCCCCCCCCCACATACTTGCCCCCAAAAACGTCCCACAAAATCGGAACGCGACGCGTGACACACGCGCATTAAGCGAGATGCGTGCGGAACTCATTTCACACCGTCAAATGTACCTCCGTTAATTCCTCTCTTGCCTAAAAGCATTCTTTCTCTCATACTCCTCCATTCTACTTCAAACTAAAACTCTTGGCGCCGGCCCCTTTTCGTAATTCACTCACCGGAGATTAATCTGGTCGAGTTCCACCTGCCGACACCGACGACCATACCGGTAGGAGGTAAGTACTCTGTAAGTTTTTCTCATATATATATATATATATATTGTTTTTTCTCATTTGTTTTCTAACATTCAAAGATCTGAATCCGCCGGAGTGGGAGCCTCCTGACGCCATTTCAAACCCTTGACACCCCCAGAATTCGAAAGCCCTCCAAAATTAGAAACTCTCTGGTCATAAGCAATTAAAATTCATAATGGTAAACAATTAAAATTCATAATGGTAAACAGTAGTTTGGAAGGAAACATAGCTACTATGCAAGGAACTGTTGGTGTGTTTCAACACTTTGACTATAAGAGGATATGGCTGACAATTTGTGTTGATGCAGCATGGAGCAATCTACATCAGATGAAGTTCGGGAGCAGGATTATAAAGAGAGAAGCCAAAGGTCTGAGTTCTTTCAGTAGTTGGTCCTATCAACCATTTTCTAAAACCCTCTACAACTTGAGCGGGTTATCAGAAAAAATACTAAATAAATGCAATTATATCTTCGATTATTGCTCATGTATGCATTTAGGTAGTTGCTATGTCTAGAAGAGGGATTTTGGTAATAACCAAAGACTAGTAGTATTTCTACTGTTATAGCAAGGTAATGTATATTTATTCATATATTTATAGTAGCAGGAGTTATAGTCTTGTATAGCAAGTACTCAGTAGATATATACTCTCATCAACACTGATGCTCCTTTAAATTTTTGCTTTCCGTTGTTGTTACATGACCTCTCTAGATATGGCTTCTAGGTCTAAGGCTGCATTTGGCATTCCTTGTTTTAAGGACTCCTTTTTGTGGTTAAAATGCCCCCAACACCAAAAAGAGGTAAGTCCTTGAAATAAGGAAAAGCAAATGAAGCCTAAGACTTAAAAATTTTTACCATTGCTGAAACCAACTGCCTCTTCCGAGAGAGAAAGAGAGATCGTATTACAATGTAGATACTAATCAAGAGAGACAGAATATTGACAAAGAACCTTTAATATTTCATAAGAGAATACATGACAATCATTACAAAGGAAATTATGATCAAATTCATTTGTCCCAACTGATCTCTCAACTTCAACAGCGTCCTCTTCTTCCGCTCCCTCCGCTGCTCTACTCCACCATTGGATCAGAAGCCAATACTGGTGGTGCGGTAGCAGCAATATAATCTTGTCTTCTTTTCTTTCTCTTGTAAACGAAGCCGTCATCGTTGCATAGCTCCCACTCCTCCTCCCAGGCTATTCCAGCCATGGCCAAGCGCCTCAAGTCAAAACTTAAATTCTGGAGAGTTTCGAATTTTGGAGGGCTTTTGAATTCTGGGGGTGTCAAGGGTTTGAAACGGCATCAGGAGGCTCCCACTCCAGTGGGTTTAGATTTGCAAATGTTAGAAAATTAATGAGAAAAAACAATATATATATATATGAACTTACCTCATGTCGGCATGGTCGTCGGCGTCGGCTGGTGGAACTTGACTGGGTTAATCTCCGGTGAGTGGGTTACGAAAGGGGGACGATGCCAAGAGTTTCAGTTCGAAGTAGAATGGAGGAGTATGGGAAAAGAAACGCTTTTGAGCAAGAGAGAAATTAACGGAGGTGCATTTCACGGCGTGAAATGGGTTCTGCATGCATCTCGCTTAATGTGCGTGTGTTATGACACGCGTCACCTTCCGGCTTTGTGGGACATTTTTGGGGGGCAAGTATGTGGGGGCAGATGCGAACTATAGACATCAGAGATCGTTTCCCCATCTCACAAACCTTAAATGCTCCGCAACCATTTAGGGTGGGAGTTACCCTGTTGCCCTTTGGGGGATTGTCAACTGATGAAAGTATGCCACATGTCAGGGGCTTTTTTTTTGGGGGAGTAAAACTAACCTAGAGTTGAAGAGTAAATGACATTGGAGAGGAGAGAAACGGTAGGGAAAGGAATCAGGCTAGGTTGGCGGCTTTTCTTTGGGAGAGAAAGATATGTTGAGTGAAATCTACGGAGGAACCCAAAATCTAAATTTTGGAGAACACCACAATGATGGGGATTCCGAGTAGGGGCAATTGGGTTATTTGAAGCATAATTCATTGTGTTCATGAATGAAATTATTCTAGGGATTTTCACTTAAGAATCCTTTCAACAATAATGGATTCTGATCATTTCCATCCAAACAAAGAATCACCAAATGTATTTAGCAGAGTCATATGATTCTTTTTTTCTCATAAACAATAGTTACCAATTTCTTTGAATCAATTTTTTAATAAATTATTGATAGGAAAAATCATGTCAATTATAATAAATAAAAGTTCAAATGAAGATACATTTTACTCTATTACGTTTAAATCATTGTCAAGCACAACTAAAAAAAAAGGAGAGAAATAGATGCCATCCAATAAACTTATTAGTGGCATATTAGTGGTATCTAGGTATTTATTATTATTTTCCCCTTGGAACTTCTATGTCTATCTTTGATGTAAATCCAAAATCTTCCCTTGTATGCTGGCTACATGAATGATACTCATGACTACACTAAAGAATCATACATCAGAAGGCTCTTATATGAGGAATAGCTTCTTTTCAATTACTTTATTGCTATAGAATTGACCGATTCTGCACTACCAAAAGTTATTTCTTGCTACATAGACCCACATTCCCTAGTGTAAGCATTTTAGTTCTTGAGAGCACCCTTAAAACATTGTCAAGATCTATGTCAAAGAATTTATAAAAGTTTCTGTAAGCGCAAGTTGGCTACCAAGCTAAAGTTACTTGCAATCTTTCTCTATCTATATTAAATGCAACACATTTATATAAAAAAAAAAACTGGAAACAAAAAGAATTAAAATAAAGTAGTGAGAAAAATGAATCCATAGTTCAAATCTATGAAAATTACCTATAATAAATATCTCCAGAGATTCATAGTGATAAGAAAGAATCCATAGTTCTTTGTATAAACAGAAATTAACCCATATATACAAAATCCTTAAGATTGTTTAATACTTTGTCGGGTTAACCAACTCAGTCCAAAAGGGGTAATGTATTCACTTACCTTGCCAGAGGATATATGGTGATTTTTGGAACCAATGTTTTTATATGATGATCCTGATACTATATTTAACAAAGAGATGTTTTAATAGATATTAACGGTACCTGGATTTTGTGAGGTATGTTCTAACAAACCAGAACTTGCAGATGCCTAGAAAAATTTTGAGAACAAAGGCAGAGAAAAAAAAAATAGAGAGAAACCGTGAGATTTTGGGGGTTGTATTGATTGAAAGTGAAGAAAAAACAAGGAGGGTGATTTGTTTATCTGAGATCGTCCGGGCTGCAGATAGCCATTGGAGAGTTGCAAAGATCTTCACTTTTCTTGGAAATATTATGAAAGCAGCGACAAGAAGAGAAAGAGAAAAAAAAATGGAATAGAAATGGTGATATTTTTGGGGTTGTATTGATTGGAAGTGAAAAACAGCGAAGAGATGGATGAGATTTACCTGAGATCACCTAGGTTGTAGATAACCGTTGGGGTGGGAGAAAAACATGATTGGGATTAGGGCTTTTGTTGATCCTCTATTTTGCATTGCAAAATTATAGAAGTGCTCATGTTTCACGTGCGAACATGGGCACTCATGTTTGTTTTTCACTAAAATACATAGCGAGAAACCAAAAGATGAGAATCATTCATCTTTAGAAACGTGAATAAGTGGATTTAAAGAAATGGCCATTCGGATGAGAATTTCCATCTAGAATTGGAGCCATTCTTCGGAAATGACAATGCCAAACACCATTATGTTCCAAAGAACCAAACAAGGCCTTAAATACCCTTGGAGTAGAGGTGCCTCTTGATCTTGAGAAGCTCCTTCAATAGAAAACCCACATTGAATTCCTCTTGGAACACTTGCACAATGTCTTGAATCTTGATAATCCGGAGATATCATATGGGCGGAAGAGAACATAATATAGAGGTTTGGTGGAGCTGGACCGAGTAAATATTTGAAATAACACCCCACCTGAACTATCAAATGAAAAAGGTGAGAATCGTAAATTCTGTTGCAGTCTAAATTTGAGCAACAAATAAGGATAAGAGAGGATGAAGTTCATACTACATTTTTAAGATTTTAAAGTCAATCAAATTGAATTGATGTATTGATGAAGATCAAAAGTGATCAACTTGATCCTTACTACAACTGGGACCCTTGAACACAGATGTGGACTCTAGTGAAGGAACCTGCGAAGAAAACAACAATATAAGGGTCCGAGTAGGTGTCTTGGGTAGTAACTCTGATGCTTTAAGTCAATATATGTCAATATGTCCGAAGTGGTAAAATGCTAGAGCAGAAATCGAAATCCAATAAATGGCCTTGGATGGCAACTATTTACCTTTATATGGAGCCCATGCCTCGATTGGAACATGGGGTTAAGGGCAAGCAATGCGAAAGGCATTAGTCGCAAAGTGGGGAAATGGGGTACTAGCACCGCCAGGTGGTAATTTCCGGTTGCATATGGTAAAGGTCAGTCCTACCCCTTTGACGTTGGAGGTAAGTTAGATCAGGAGTATGTCCTTCATGTCCGAAGTAGCTCAGGTCGGATGCATGCCTTCGTGAGTAACCCAGTCTGAGCTCGTTCTAGGTCAAAGGTTAGTAGCCATCAGGATACCCAAGTTAGCTTGCCACTAGTGATCCAAGGAGCTATCAAGTGTTGTGCTGCCACATGTCACAATGTGGTGC